GGGTTTGTTCCTGCTGCTAATTCTCTTTCCCAAAGCTCAGGATAGTCCTTACTCTAAAGCCAAGACAACCTTTCTGCCTTCTTTCCCGTGCAGGTTTCACTAGATAAAAGTACCCTTTGTAGAGAAGTGCTGCTTCTTGGCTAACCTCAGAAATGTCTGGCTTGCATGATTCAGGACTGACCAGTAGTAGACATGAACCCTTTAAAAACTCACCTCTCCCTGTGACATCTTCCTTAACATCCTTTTCAGAGGTAGGCACTAGTTCTAGGCAGCACTGAAAGCTAGTAGTGGTAAAGGCACCTGTATCACAAAAGCCCCAAAGGTCACTGTGATTCCACTCACTGTCTCTACCCTCTGGAGTGGACCAAAGGGAACCTTTTTTTCTTTTTTAACTGTATCTGAGTTGCAAGGACTGATGCAATGACAACAAAGGGGAAAACATGCAGAGCTGCATTACAAACCAGTTCATCAGAACACAGAGCACGCCTGCCTTACAAATTTGCCTGCAGCTCTTGTCTGCTGTGTTATTTTTAAACTGCCTGCAGGTTGCAGATTTTTCAGTGGTCCTTCTCCTACCAGTGTACACAGAGGATTTAGCAAGACACAACTTCCATTACCATGAATTTAAGTTACCAAAATTCCCAGCACATTAAAATTCAGCATCCTTCATCTTCCCATAAACTTCTTGCTGCAATTTGCGTATTCACGAGAGGGCATCCCACGTCTCTTACAGACTCTCTCCATGGCAAGGTCAGGATAACTCGGCTCTGCATTCCTGATATTCCCAACTGCCTGTGGAAGTACATCAGCCTGTGGAGTGCAGCTTGCAGTTGCTATAATCAGCAACCCAAGCATCGAGCTACAGACTCTAGCTCATCATGAAAAACCCAAGAAGATAGACCCAACTGCCTGAACCCAAAGCTCGTTTTCACAACACTGTTATCACTCAGACATGATCGCTTCAGCACCAAAGCATATGCTGTACAAATGAAGGCTACGTGCAGGCATAGGGCACTCATCCATCACACATCCAGGACACAAATTTCACGGTACTCCCAGCAAACCTGCCCCACTTCTCCGGGGGGCTGGAGGGGTTTAGAGTCAGGACTTGACATATGTAAATGAGAGAGCTCTGTGTGCAGAAAAACTTCACAAGCCATGCATAATTCCTATAGAGAAGGGACTAACAGGAAGAGTAGTCTATTTATGTCACCACGATATTTTAAGGAAGAAAGCAGCGGGGCATTTTTCAGAAACACTGATCGTCACAACTGCTGCTGATGTAAACAGACGTCATACCTCATACTTACTATCTGAGGGGTGAGACCCTGCAGCCAAATGTTCTTTGTTGACTGGTTTATTCTGCAGCCCAGAGCACCCATCATGTCAGAAACTCTCCCCTCATCTGATTTGGGATGTTTCAGACATCAAACTATTCACACTCTTGACCACTGCTAGGAGCTCTAGAAATGACCCCAGCTGACACTGTAAGAAGCACTTGCCCAGCTTCATCAGCAGGGGCATAGCTACATTCATTGCTACCCCTTTGGTACACACAGAGCAGATGATGGGTTTCTGTGCCATGGGTTAAGCTTGTACTTGCTTGACCCTGTATAACCACTGTCCCTCATCCTTCTACATTACACAGCTAGTTAAGCTGTTGCTTATTTCTCCCTGCTGACTTGGAGAGTCTTGATTTGGCTCTGGGATGTTTATATTTTGCAGACATCCTCTATATAATTGCATGGCCTGGCCCCAGGCTATCAGGCTCTGGGAGAAATAACCACATTATTCCACAGAACAGTTAGCATAATTAAAATATTGATCGCAGATTAAAAAAATGTGCTGAATATTTCACAGAGTGGTTGGAGACTTGGCAAGTCTTGGCAGCTTGTTGGCTACAGGAACTGGCTGATATTTAGGCGTGCCTTCCCCTTCAGTATTCATTGCTGTACGTGGGAACTGCTTTTTGTGCTGTCAACTTCTTATCTTCCAAGCAGCCAACCCACAACCAAGAAAAACTGAACTGACTGGAAACGAGGAGCTCCAAGGGCTTTCTTGTGATTCTTATTGCCAGTGAGACCATTTCCTTGTTATTTATGACTTCAGGACATCTGTCTTACTGTGTCTCTATCTATTTTTATTTGTGTCCATCTCTCCAAATGCACAGTGTAGGAACTGCATATGGTGAGAATGTACCAGGTGATAAAACCATTTGCTTAAGAACTGTCTGTACCATATGAAAAGCATTAATAAAGTTTAAAAGCCCACAAAAACCTCCACTGAAACATTTGTTTTAGGTACTATACCTTCTGTGACATTTGATTTCTATCTGTATTTCATCTGTAACCAAAGTCTAAGGCATAAAATCCTTACATTTCCACAACCAAGGGGGCAGAAGAAGATGGGAGAAACCCAGTTGACAGGGCTGATAGAAACTACAGAAGCAGTGTTCACTCCAGGGCCCTTAGGAAATTCTTAGTGCCTTTGCAGTGTCTCCCCATTTTTTTTCTTAGGGGCATATCTGGGAAAATAAAGATTGCTACAGACACACAGGTTTGGGTTTGAATGACTTCCTGGTTCTGTCTACATCCCCTACTATCTGGCAAAAAAGGTAGAACGATCTCATGCTACCAGTGTTAAACAAAACATGTGGATGATGCAGACACCTACATCCTGAATGAAATACAGCAAGATCAGTAACTTGCCAAGGTACTGCTTTAAATCAGCTTCTGATTTAATCTTCACTTACATGCTTCAGAAATTCCTGGAATGGTAGGAAGTGTCTGAGCAGCAGTGCAGTCTCACAAGCAGGGCCAGGGATGGTGAGGCTGAGCTATCCTACTCCACTGTAGCTTCCAGGGACAAGGGTCTGATTTACAGTCTGATCTGCAGCGCTTTTGAGATGAGCTAATTTTGTGAACATTTCCATTCCCACTCAAGGGATGTCACAAGAAATGGCCAAATGCTATTTTCTGAGGCTTCTATTACAGCTTTAAAGCAATCATAATAGCAAATTAGCAGACCTACTCTGCCATTTTCCATTCTCCTTGCCATCTCTGTAATCAAGAGCGGCTCTACTTCTTCAAAGCTTATTTCTGCAATACTTCTCATTTTTGAATACGCAATTAGGAAAGGAGTGTGATATCTTGGCACTCCAGCTGTGGTCTGTAGGCTACGGCCCTCCTTCTGTGATGGGCTTATTGCTAGTTTCTGCTCTCAACTTAATATTGACCTCCAAATTGTAAATCATAAGTATCACCTTGGGTAGATGCCATTCTTTCAAAGGCAAAAATATATTTTTGCATACATTTAAAATCTCTTCTAGCTTAAACCCCAAGATAAGCTCTGTGAAAGGAGACAAAAAATGCTCTAAATTCAGTGTATAGAAAGAGAAATTCACTGGGCATGCACGGGGGGTGGGGTGGGGGCAGAATTGTTAGAGCCTGTTCTCTGTTCTGATAGTTCATATGGCCACGTTTTTAGTTGTCTCCACTGAATGATTCATCTCTATTACCAGTATTTTCAAAATTAAATGGAAGAGAAGGAATGTGTTCATTCCCCTGCTGTGTTTAATAATCTTCCAAAAATTGTTTCCTGTTTACTTGGAAATCCCCACCTTCATGCTGTGATTTAAGCATTTTCACCTGTTAACTTAAAAACAGAGCTTAGATGCTGTATAGTTTTTATCTTGCAGTCACATAAAGCGATTTATGATAAATGTTGTTGTTCCAGGGAAAAATTACTTGGAAACATACATATGTTCATAGCTCCACATTGCTCTTTAAATCGTAACCGATTGTTGAAAAAAATTACAAATCGTCATTCAGTTTTTATTCATGGAATGTCTCTGATGACTGATGGCAGCTTCTATTTCAACAATCACTGTCTTGGTGCTCAAATACAAATCTCAGTAAAGACATCAATAACCCCATTTATGGAACTGGGCTACTTTCATGGTACTGGCCAGCACACAACTGTGAATAGTCAGTATGTATTTTTTCATGCAAGACTTGTCTGTAAGCAAAACTTACAGTGTATTTTCAAGACAAAATATTAAAAATACCTAAATTGCTTTTCCAGCTAAAGCATTATCTCTGAATTCCTGTGGCTTGGCTGGACAAAAGGGAAAGAATTTTTCCCTTAGGTTCCTCGAGGAATAAATTTGCACAAGAGTTCTAAGATTTTACTTACGTAGCACATATCAAACAAACTCTTCTTATATAAAAGGTTTGCATTAGCTCACACAAGCTAGTGTGTTCTGTGTTAGCTTATGTGGAAAGAGTTCATTTAAAAAGGCAGCAATATCCTGTGGCCCGAGAACAGAACTGGAAGCTGGGAATTCAGAAGGGACCTGAGCTTTCTCACACTTCCTCTCAGCTTTTCATAAAGGTCTAAATTTTTCTAAATGAACATTACATTTATGTGATTAACTGGAGGCCGCATGGGCCTGGTTTATAGATACGTTAAATTTCTACTGCTGTTATTAAAGCTATTGGGAGCTCTCAGCTCTCCATGTTTCAGGAGGCTGTAATGCAGTTAAACGCAGCCCTCGGGAGGGAGAGTACCACCAGTACCTTGGTGAGTACCAGGCACCGACAGAGGTAGGAAAGAGACGGAATAAAGCATAGGGTGTACAAATTCAGCACACCCCACTCTCTATGGGCCTAACAGCCCTGATTAATGCATGAGGGACAGCAACAGTGGAGATACTGAAGTATTTGGCATCCGGACAGGTACTGTGCAAGACCAGAGTCAAGAAAGCAGCTGGTAGGAAGCACTGGGCTGGCACACTGAGGTTGAATGCCTCTCTGGCTGGTGGCCCTCAGCCTGGCCGCCAGCTCCAGCAATGCAGAGACTTTCTTTCAAAGTCTTGCACTGCTTATCTTGGTGACTAGACTGAATGCTTGTTAGTTGGTGAGCCTCCATTTGTCTCCCCTTTTCAAGTCTATGCTGAAGCTAAATGTCTAACAGCTGGCTTTCCTCTCTTCCCCTCTCAGATGAGATGGAGCAGTCCCCTGCAATGCGTTCTGACTACTTGGTCTCAGGGATTCGAACTCCACCAGTGAGGAGGAACAGCAAACTGGCAACACTGGGCAGGATCTTCAAACCATGGAAGTGGCGGAAAAAGAAAAATGAGAAGCTAAAGCAGACGTCTGCAGGTAGGATGAGAACAAGAGAGTGATGCTGCACAGAGCAAAGCTTAGCTTGGGTGAAATTTGCTTACACAGGAAATGTTAATGGTGTCCTGATCCATACCTAATTCAAAGGTTTCAGAACGTTACAGATTAATAATGTTTAAGGCTAGAAAGGGCCCATACAGGCTGACTACCTATATAATACAATATAGTACATTTAGAAGGAAAGGTCAAAATATGAGTGGAGCACAAGCCTCGACACAGACTGCTTTTCATGGGCTGTCTCTTCTCCAAAATAGGATACATTTATGGCCCCAAGAATCATCACCCCTTTTATTTGGGATGAAGACTATGTAGGTCACAGTAATATTACGAGAAATGACAGGAGGGAACTACAGCCTGTAAAATGCCTTCCCTCAAGCACCGGTCTCTGTGGTGAAGGAGCCCAGCACACAGCATGCTCTCACTAGTCCCCAGGGATGTTCCAGGAGTTCATTAAGGAGACAAACTCACTTGCCTTAAGATAGGACGGTGCAGTTCCCTCTGCTTGCCCCAGTATCTTGTGGAGTGTCAAAGTAAAGGACACCGCTTTTTGAGGCAGCTCCCATGAGCCATATTAAACAGCATGAAGGCTCTAATATCCTCTAATATCCATTACTCTGCACTCAGTATGATCAGAGTGTAGATTAGATCATAAATCCTGGCTCTACCTGTGGGTGATTTTACAGCTGTTTTAACAAAGGAAAAGGCACAAACAGGCTGACCAGTCCATGTTCCCCAAAATGAAATCCCTGCAGTTCTTTCCGAGCACACAGTAGCTGGGACTAGGGGGAATTTCCACATTGCATCTTTCTCACTCCATTATATGAATACTCTGTTGTTAACTGGTGCTGTCTTATGCTGCTATTTCATGCAGTGCTGGAGAAGAAGATGACAGCACGACAAGGTCGGGATGAACTCATTAAGAAAGGCCTTCTGGAGATGATAGAACATGGTAAGTAACAATTCTTCATCTTTTTTATCAGTCTTTTTTAAGACAAAAGGAAACACATAACTTTAAAAGAAGAAACCTAACAAGCAAATTAATAAGAAGAAAAACCTTGAATCCGAACAGAGAGGAAAATTCGGTATCTGAATCAAGTATGTTCTTCTTCAAATTCCTCCCTGCTGCAATCAACCCATGCAGTTTAATTTTTGATGTTTTACCATCTTGAATGCAGCTCCATCTTTGCTTGATTTATACATGGTGCAATCTGATCTTGTATGTATGTTTTATGCAATTGCTCTAAACCTAGCTAAATCCTACTGCCAAGAAAGTCAGCTAAAGCTGGTATAAAGGTATAAATATAACTTATACAGATGCATTCAGCTAACATGTACAACCCATGAATCCAAATCTCATGAAACTATATTAATATGATGTTTTCAGCTGTCTTTCCAGTAAATGAAGTTTGTGACAAACCATATCACCATTCTGCCTGTTTTTCATTCACATGGAAAAGTGAAGCATTTGATAGTGTCATTTTAAAGCTTTCCCGACACAAACCAGGTTCAGCAGTAGTCACTGAAGTGTAAGAAACATGCACAAAGGATTGTGGTTCTGTATATCCCTGCTCCAAAGCCTTGATGGATGTTTAAGGGAGACAGAGATCTGAGTGACTATTCTGCAAGATCAAGTGAGCTCCCAATGTTATGGACAACATCCCACTTGCCATTTCCACCTAAACAGAGATAAAAAAAATAAATCCACCTTTACTCTGAAAAGATTATAGCAGAAAGTACTATCATGAAGAAAGACTGGCCTTTTAAATTTGACCAATCTGATAGATACAAATTACTTTATTTGAAACTAATAATTGCGTTTCCTTGTATAAAACAAATGCCATGCCTATAAATAGCCTGTGGGACAATACTCAGTGATGCTATGCTGGCGTGTAACCGAGCAACAGAAGACTCAGAAAAAGAGCATTTTAAACATTTTTTTTTCATTGCAGTAGAGCAATTTTCATATTATGTTATTTGATATATTTTAATATGAGTTTTACATTCAAGTTAAAAAAATAATCTATGAAACCATCAGTTTATTCTAAAATGAAAGTTTTCAGAAGGCTCATTTTTACTTCCTGTCCATTGAACTCTTTGTGTCTCTCATAATTCTAGATAATCAGTTGCCATATTAACATATTAGCACTATTGGATAGAAAAAGACACCCTATTTCTGTTAGGAGTATGAAGTTTCCCCATAATCCATGAATCTAGAGCTTTGCAAAAGAACAGTAAAATAAAACTTCTGTAGAGCACATTAAAAGGTAATAATAATAGTGAATCAATAAACCTCTTGCATGCATAAAGAACTGCTTGGGAGAAAAACAGATGATCCTAAATTGCAAGATCATGTTAACAAAATTAAATTGGTTTAAGTAAATACCCATCCAGTCCAATGAGGGGTGGTGACAAGCTGTGCTTTTAAAGAGGCAGCTGCCAACAGACTGCTTACCTGTCTGCAAGAAAGTTGCCTAGAATCCCTATAAATGTCAAACAAATATCCAGTACCACCCTGCTGCCCAGAAAGGCAAGAATGGCTAGCAGTCAGTTGAAGGACATCGCAGGCACCTGCAAGTTATTTTTCTTTACTGAGTGTTGTGAATCTCCAGGGTTCTTTTATTATATTATTAGTAGAAGCAGCTTATTAACTGGAATAAAAAATTGACCCAAATAATTCTCAGTAAATGATTAGTGCCCTACTTGGACTGAGCTGAAGCAGCAGCAGTTTCAAGGCTAAGTCCTCATTTATGCAGGAAGTTGTAATTGTTAAAGCAGTAATACTATGCTAAAAGACTACAGTAAATCCTAAAATCCCTCTATTTCATCAGGCTCTACTCCACTTCCAGGGACCTGATTCCTGCTCACTTTCATAAATAGCCCAAACTGGGATGATGCTGTAGTCTGAGAAACCTCCAGATCTGCTTCATGCATTTACAATAGCTGTGTCACACTCCAGTTTCATAGCACAAGGTCTGTCAAGCAGCATTTTGAACTGGACTCTTTGGCTCAGAGCAAACCACAAAGCTAGCGCAGAATCTGCATCAATCTGTGAGCAGCCCAGGGTGAAATTGCACCGTCCTTGCTTTGGTGATGAGTCATCCTAACAGGTTATGTCACCCTTTCTCCTCACACAACCCCAAAACCCAGCCGCCCTGTGCAGTTGCACAGTCTGGGCCCCTTCTCTTCTTCTCTCCAGCTCCGCTCACCCAGACCAAATGCCAACCTGACCCATGGAAACTCCTGAACCTGAAATACAGCTTCACTCTAGGGAACCAACTTCCACTCCGTAAGAGGTTATAGGGTGCAGGGCCTGGCATACAGTGGGATTCATTCCCAACAAAATTACAGCCCTACTTCTTCTACTACTTTACAATACTCAAGACTCTGCTGCTTTCCTTACCAGTGGGTCTAAGGTCTGTGCTTTCTCCTGTCCCTGGATGGTCTCTAAAATATGGTGTTGGGACCCACTGCCAATCAAAGCAGCATACCCACATTGATCTAAGCATAAGCTGATCATTTCTGACCAGGAACATCGCTGTTGTGAGTCTCAGACACTCCTCAACAGAAGTTCTTCAACAGGGCTGTCTTCTGCTTGTCGTTACTTCATTAGTCATTACACTTTCCATTGGCTGGGATCTGAAGGAACTCATCTCTGACTGCAGTTTCATTGTGGCACAGCTGTCAGCAGCTTGCCTTTCCACGGGATGTGAGGAATGTGCAAAGCAGAGTTACCTTGAATACATTTAGGGAGCTTCCCCTGATATTCTCCCCATTGTGAGCACAAAATTGATCAGATGTAGCCGTACTTACAGCAGTGAGAGATAAGGGCTGCCTGTCAAATAATGCAGGCAGCTGTTAATACACCGATGATTATGTATAGGCTGGATTCACAATGAGCTGAAATGTAGGCAATGAACTTTTTCCCCCTCCCCTTCCCTGTATCATAGCAACTGTGCTACTGCAAGGGCTATTTTAAGAACAGTAACTTTTCACCAAACGTGATTATGAGGCAGACTGAGTGAGCTCAGCGTACAAAAATACTGCATCCCTTCCGCAGCATCTCTAGGCCAAAATCTGATACCCTTACCCAAAAGCACAATAAATTACACTGCAGATTGACCAAATAGTATTAAATAGGGGTAGCCATGAATGCCAGCTATTTTAAATCAATGTTCAAGAAACTTGTCATGATATCATTGCAAGAAAACATATCCCTGTCAGGAGCTTCCAGAAAGGAGTGTCTAGGGCCGAGAAATACAAGTTAGGAGGTCAGAGGTGGACAGCAGCAGAGATGTCCATCAGCATGGAGCACTGACTAGAGTGGAAAGTAATTGCTTTCTTTGGTTTGCAGCAGTGATATAGATCTTGTAAATTCTGAGACAGTCGTGAAGTAAAAGGATAGTTTGTATTCCGAGGACTCTTGCCTGAATAGGAGAATACTAGAAAAGCTTCAGTCATCAAGATGCGTACAGCTGCAGGGATCACTGGCACAGAAATCTTTCAGAGTAAGCAAAGGGAGCAGTATCTAGGTCTGCATGAAGAGGGATTTGAATTTCTGATCAGCTCAATCACACAGGACATGCTTTTCAAAGCTGAGTAACTAAAACTATGCTCAAAACCTACAGCTTGGTAGGGAATATTAGCAGCTTTGTCTTCGGTAAGGCCTCGGCATTACTGCTGGGGCAGCTGGATGGCAGCGTGTCATGCACGGAGCCTGACACAACTCAGACATGTCAGACCAACCTGTGAATGTGCTGCACAATGAGCTCTGCTCGTGCAAGGAATTGCCTTCTCCCAGAGAGCTCAAATTTCCCATACTTGTGCTCATCTCCTACATAGCAGATGCCTCCAGAGTACAGTGGCCTTCCTGTACATGCACAATGGCCATTTGTCCAGGCTGCTGGCTGCTCACAGAAGAAGGTGCCCCCTGAGAAATCTGGGTGGATATTAGTATCTTGATACGCTGGTGTCCACAAGTTTTACCTTACAGATGCTTAACACTGTTAGAGATCAGGTGCTGATCTAAGGCAAATCTCAGTCCCCTGAGCACTACCAGTTTGAGACTCACTCTTCTCAAGACAGCAGCAGGGAGTTTCAGGTTTCACTGCTCATGGTTTAATTAAGATTAAGTCATTTGCTCTTTTAGATACTGAAGGCAAAGCCTGCACTGGTGATGATGCCACGAGAGCAACGCAGAGTGACCCTCCAGCTCCTGTGTGCCAGGCGCTTGCCTCAGAAGAGTTGCAGCAAGAGAGTACAATAGCAGCCACAACGAATGTGACCTCGTTTGGTGAGGAGCTGCATTTGGATGAGCTGAAAGAAGATGCAGGTATCGGATGCAAAATTTTTTCAAAAAACTGTAAAATGTTAAAAAAAAATAATTTCTGCTAATCTATTTTATAAGGAGTCAAATATATCAGTGCATTAAAGGGTCAAACACCTTGTTCAGCTTAGCCCATACTAGGTTAGCAATCGGTACTTAAACCCAGTGATTTTTGAGACTGCTACCAAACTGAGGGACCACACAAAGCTTGGCATAATGGGATTAGTTGGATTATGAGACGATTCAGTTTTGGCATGGTGCCCCTTTGGTATTAGCAGTGACTGCTGTGAAGATGAAACACGCTTCTGAAAAGCATTTCTTAAACTTCTGTGCCAAGCCTGAAATTGTTTGTCCTGGCTCCGGAGAACAATGTCAATACACAGCCCACACTGTCCATATCATCACCCTGTCTACAATATGCTGCAAATACAAGTGAAGTTCAATACCAGGAACACAGATAAGCTAAACCAGGCTCCTTTCATGCAACCATGCTCCAGCAGAACTCATCATTGACAGCAGTTCGTGGGACCAGAGCAGCCAGGCACAACCCATCAGCAGGAGGGTTTCCATTTACTTCCTGATAACCAAGAAACGCAAAGCTGCAGAGATAATGCTTTATCCTAGTTTGTGAGGAGTGCCATGTAGTGAGTGATTACAGATCTTCCTGCCCTCTGGTCAATCTTTACACCTTCTCCATCTGCCCTAGTTATCTTTTGTTCCCCTTCCCACCGTGTCATGCCCTGCTTTCTCTGGGGTCCCAGACCCTGGCCACTTTCAGCGAGCCCACCCCTACCTGCTGTGATTTGCTGAGCAATGCTGTCTGCTTATGCCCTCAACCTGCTTCAGCAGCTCAGAAGGGAAATAATTCTCTGAAGCATTTTCCACTTCTTTGCTTTATCCTTTCCCACTTCCTTTTCCTCTGGTCCTTTCCATCCCCATGACTCATGCGATTTTGTTCCCAAAACAGCAAAAGTTTTGCTTTTATATAACATTGCTCTTCTGGTCCATTTGTAGCTCCACTCCACTCTTAATTGCTTTGACAACGGAAACTATTCTGTCTCCCTAAAAGTATCTCTCCTCATGTTTGCTCATCACAAGGATTTTTTTTGTAAGCTTAACAATACCTTTCCATCACCCATCACCTTCTTCATTTCAACTACATGTGTTATTTCATCAAGAAATATACCAAAGCACTGTATGTGGGCTTCTAAAGATTTATCCACTCTCTTTTTTGTCTCTCAAAATAGAGACACAATAGAGAATTGGACATAGACAGCCTCTATTAATACATGCCCTTAATGCTGTTTTCCTTTCTCTTCAAACTACATTTATGGCTGTGTTTCATTTTGTATCGCCCTAAGAATTGATTGAGGCAAAACCATTCATCTCCCCGTTCTTAGAACAACCAGATTAAGATCTTTACCAGAATCCTTCAGGTCTTTTTTTACTCTTTTCTAGAGCATTTCATTACATATTGCTAAGGAAATTTATCTCTGAACTTCTAATTCTTATCATTGGGACAGGCTATCCTGGAAAGATGGTACTAATATCATGTATTTAACCTTATGGCTCCGCAAAACCTAGTACTATGATTTAAAATTTACCTTACACTGCATTCAAAATTGTGTATTGAGCCTTTCAAAATCATCCCATTTCTTCTGTCTCTTTCTCTAATCCTAGTTCCTTTTATTGTGTCCCTGGCACTACGTTTTCTCTCTTCTGTATTTCTTTTCCTCCATTTTTTGAGGTATCATTTCTCCAGGTTCCAAAAAGTAACAGTGGGATTACCTTCTCCCGTCTCCCTGGTTTGCAAGACTCCACTCCTATTTGTTGGAAATCTTCCTACCTCTTTCAGCAGTGGCCCCTGGCTTTTAAAATAATTATTGTCAATCTAGTCTTTATGTGCTAATTTATCCCTGTCTGTGCATTCTAGCATTCCTGTCTCTAGTGAATCCGCCTTAAGGAATTCATTGGGTGGGAAAGCTCTTCAAAACTGTCAGTGTATTGCTAAGTTTATTATAATGTTGAGTTTATTATAACATTTGTCCTTGGGCTCAATCCAGGCCCAGTGCAGTAGGTGTCTTTCCACAAATTCATATGAATATTTGACCAGCTAGGGACAACATGAATATATTTGCTTTATACTCAATATGTTGTATTTTATCCTGAGGATGTGGGATGAAGGCCTGGGAGGAGGAGAGGAGGAAACAAAAGGAAATATTTGTAGACTTCATGTTTGGTTAATACACATAAAAAGAACAGGCTAGGCAAACAGAAAGCAGTTTTTCCCACCTACCCTAGCCAGCAGGCTCAGGGGCAGGATTTTTACCTGGTGGTGAGATGGTATTTTGACTTGCATTCCATGATAATTCGCTACTCCAGCAAGGAGCCTAGTGTTGAGGACTCAGAATATTTTCAGCAGGATAATATTCACTCTGCAGTATGAAAACTGTTAATAAGTTTGTGCACTCAAGACTGTGGTCTGCCTTCAGACTGAATCAAACGTGTGCTGCTGTTACCAGAAACAACCACGGAAAAAAACCCAGAAGAAAACTGTTCTTTGCAGGGAAAGTAAAATGGCCATTCTTTAGACAACAGTGTGCAATGCCAGATTGTTTTTGTGATACCACTCTCAGAACAGGATGGAGTTCAGAAACAAAATGATCTGTTTGACTGAGGCCGAATCTGTTTTGGATCCACCTTCACTATAGGAAAAGTCTCACTATGGCTGCTCCTCTGCATTTGTGTCAGCACTTCATGTCCCAGGGAGGTCTACTGATTTCAGTGAAGTCACTGCCAGAAGAAAGTATCACTTCACTCAGGGGAATGCACTCAAATCTGACTAATTTTTCCATCAAGCTACTAACATCTACTGGAGCTCTTGATCTTTCTGTAATGTAACCCATTAGTGACTTTATTTTTCTCTTCCTCTATTCCACAGTTTGTTTTCTATGCAGTAGGCACAAAAACCTGAAGTGATGTCAGCCTGGAACAAAGCATTTCCCTGGAAGTATATTTAAAAGAAAATTATTTCCTTGTATAATTCAGGCAACTATCACATAGAGCAGCTTTCCTATAAAGCCAGATTTCACAAGAATTCCTGTTAATGATGCATATTCATTCTATTTTCCTGTCTTTTTGAATGATAAATATCCCTCCTCTTCTAGGCACTCTCATTAATCTGTTTGTCAACAAATTCAATGCTATTATCTTGCCAATGCTATTGTTTCCAACTGCCTAAGTGCTCTGGTGCCCCCCGCTGCACTCTGAATGCGAGGATGCTGAATGTTCATTAATACAAAGTTTGTACTCCAAACAAGACATAAAACTGAACCAAGAAAAGAATTGTGACGTGGCAGCTGTGGGTGCCCACTGCTGTGAGGTTTTAGAAGATGCCCTAGAATGGTTTGGAGGGAAAAGCACTTGGTTTAGACAATCCAGAATGCTAAAAGGAGGGGGATTTGCTCTTTAACCAGCTCAGGGAGTTTGAACATCTCATGTTCTGCTCTGGTGAGACCCCACCTGGAGTACTGTGTCCAGCTCTGGAGTCCTCAGCACAGAAAAGACATGGACCTGTTGGAACAGGTCCAGAGGAGAAACACAGAAATGATCAGAGGGATGGAACATCTTTCCTATAAGGACAGGCTGAGAAAGTTGGGGGTTGTTCAGCGTGGAGAAGAGAAGGCTCCGGCGAGACGTTACTGCAGCCTTTCAGTACTTAAAGGGGGCTACAGGAAAGATGGGGACAAACATTTTAGCAGGGTCTGTTGCAATAGGACAAGGGGTAATGGTTTTGAACTAAAAGAGAGTAGACTCAGACTAGATATAAGGATGAAATTTTTTATAATGAGGGTGGTGAAACACTTGTAGATCCCTGGAAACATTCAAGGCCAGGCTGGGCAGTGTTCTGAGCAACCTGATCTGGTTGAAGATGTCCCTGCTTAGTGCAGGATGGGTTGGACTAGATGACCTTTAAAGGTCCCTTCCAACCCAAACTATTCTATGATTCCGTGCTGAGGAAAGTCTTTAACACTGATTTCTCCATTAGGATGACTGCTTCACCTGCTAGGGTAGGAAAAATAACCCTCATGGCCACTACTGAGCCCACAGTGGCTGGAAATGCAGTTTGGAGAGAGCCTGGCTGTGGCCCTGGATCAGTCAGTCTCAAGCATCTCTGTGTGTCCCCATTTATGCCAAGGCAGAGATCAGGACATGTAACAGAGCATGAAAGTCAGACAGTGAGGCACTGTGTGAGTTTAGGCACTGCCAGAGTCAGCTGGCATCTGAGCATGATTCAGGGATGTTAATTTTGGACTTCATCACTGAAATTCCACCTATGTCCTGCTTCAGCTTCATGCCTTTCTGGATCTATTCCCCTGTGCCCTCATCAGAGCCAGGTCAATTTGATGAACTGCTCAGTGAGTCAGCCTGCACTAACTTTAAGAGCTAAGTTCTTTTACTGTCTTTCAGGGGACAATCCTGAAATAAGTACTGCTTCACCATCTCAAATTAAGGCTTTAGTGACTAAGGTTTTAAGTACTTCACTGATTCTCTGTTCCAAACTAGCTGCTGAGATCCAATGGCAAATCTTTTTTATGACAGGCTTTTCTCAGTTATCAACTTTAACCTCAGGAAAGACTCAACAGTTCTGGAGTCAGGTACAGTAAGAGAAGGCTTGAGATGCAAGTTGAAGACATGTAAGAAATAAGATAAAGTATAAATCATGAAAATAAATGTGTACAGCAAACAACTGGGAAGTCAGGTTTGATACTCTTTGCCCTCTGGCTGTGTGTTCCTAGCACAGAAGAGTACTCACACAGTAACTGTGCCACCACAGCTACATGCTGTAAGAAAACTCATTGCAGTTCTCAAAAGTTGCTTTGCCTTGCTGTCTTCATTATTAAAAAAAAAACCAAACCAACCAACAAAAAAAAAACCTCAACAGAAAGGGAAAAAGGCTTTAGGGAAGTAAGAGAAGCTCGTCAGGTTTCTCAGGAACATCAAAACTAAAATTTCTTCAATATCCTCATCTGTTTTCTTTACCTGCCTTGGCTGGTTGGCTATTACACACAATAATTATTTTCACTATGGAAAAGAAGTGCTTCTAGCTGTGTGCCATGTGTTCTGTTTTTCTGAACATTCCTGGCATTGTCCCCTGGCCTATCATTATTAACTTCATGTTCCATTAATTTTACTCATCTTCCTACTAGCCAAGAAACCTTCAGCACCCACGGAAGAATTAGAAGATGCCAGCCTGCCAGCATCTGAAGACAGTCCACAAGCCTTACTTGTATCTGAATCCACAGATTCCCCCCAGAAACAGACAGAAAGAAACCCAGCACAGCTTCCCAGCCCTCCGTTGCTCCCAGCTCCACCACCCAAGGCAATCTCCAAAATCACAAAGAGCATAACAGGTCAGTCATTACTGATCAGTAAAGACTTCCCCATCCTTTATGTGTTGTTCGCCTACACAGCACAGTGTATATTTTTTTTTTCTTACATCCTTTTTTAAGCCTATTGCCACAAACTGCTGTGAGTCAGGCTAGTTATCCTGAGTGAACAGAATGCTAATGATTTCCATGAACTGAGGTGTCCGGTTGCCTGATAGCACTGCACTAATCTTTGTACTTCATATATTTGTCTGAATCTTTCAGGGGATTATTTGTTGCGAGTTTATTGCACTAAACACATGTAAAACAAATCAAACCAACTGCAAACATCTGCTGAATCAGATGCTCCTATCGATATGCCATAAAGCACAAAGAAGATTTAAATGTTTTCATTACCTGGACTCCCGCTGGATAACAGTACAACGGCCAAAATGAAGTTCAAGTCAATAGGTTCTGTAGAGGTCGCTGTCTGAACAGTTTGCTCTCTAGGGTGGGTTTAAACTAGAGCTATGAAATCTGGTCTAGTTACACAGAACACACATAAGTGATACACCTGGCTCTCACAAAGCAATCCTCTGTGCCAGACTTCATTTAATGTTTCAAGAGCAATTCCTCTGGGCCTGATTTTCTAATGTATTGCCAATGTTGTTACATTTTCCAACATTTTGGCACCGCAGAAAGGGTGTTAAAGTGAATATGATTTCAGTTTGTTCCAATTTTAGGGCCCCTACATATGGTAAAAGCAGTTAAAAGGGCCTTATTGCAAATTAGAATCAAGTCCTGACATCTAAATGTCAGACCTGTTGGATATTTAGACTTTTAAATGACAGCCATTAGCTCAGTCCTGATTTGCATCCACACTCATCTACTGGCACAATGAGTAGGGATTCAGTCACCAGGAAGCAAAATATCAGAGGGGCATTGTGATCTGACCAGTGGGGTGCATAGACAATATTGAGGTTTTCAGTCTTTTTGAGGAAAATTACAAGTATTTGTTTCCCATGAAAAATATCCATATTTCGTCCATACTTAAAAGCCATAAGAGTTTAAGTGGGAGCTGGATTCAAAATAGTATCACAGTGCTCCTTAGGAGCTGTGGTCCAGATTGCTTCAACATTCTGTGCTATAGGTCAGGCTTTAGCCTGCCCCTTCCACCTTGCAACACGAACAGGCACAACCAGGACACCCCTTTGACTTTGCTCAGCTGAGAAAGCAGCCATGCTCTGCTTGGGACGTAGGCTATTTGGAAAACCTGACCCATAGAGGGTAACGAGATTACAGCTCCACCAGGCACTTCACAGCATTCTGAGTCTAAATATTTTGCTGCTTAACCAAATTTATTCCTGTAACATCTAATATATTCTGAGTTTTGGTATTTCTTTCTCATCTAAATTTTCCACAAAGAACAACTCTTCGCTCTCAATTACTGCAATAACTATAGACACTTTTTCAAGAGTAATTATACATTTGTTTATTTTTGTGTGGATGTGAAAGCAGTGGTAAGTTAAGACTAAACAAATACTGTCAATGAGTGTAAGGGAATACAAATATATGGGGAGAGAGAAAGAACAATTATGAAAGAAAAGGAAGATGAAGAGGTTGAAAAGCTCTTTTGTGTTTAGTTTTCCGCCCCTTAACAATGTTAGAGATGCTTTTAGCAGAGGAGTGAGGAGTAAGCCAAGCACCAATTAATCACAGAGAGAGGGGGAACAAGGCGAGATGCCAAGACATCACTTTGCAAGATTATTCACTAAACAGCTGTCATTAGGACAAATAAGGTATGATCTAAGGGAACTCTCAACTCTCAATATTGGCCCAAGCTGCAATGAGGGCAAAATTGGCCCTTGACCTGTTCCAGGAACAAGCAGGAATAAAGATAAAACAAAGTCTCCTCCCTTCCTGCTTTAGGGTTGAGCTGAACCCAGGATTCTTGCTGTGAGAAAACATGGAAACCCTCTCTCACTGTGAAGTGGTATAAAGTGACTTAAGAAGTGGGTTTTTTCATCTTAGGCCATGATTTAATGGGCAATGATTGATCATAGAAGTAGCACATAATCAAAATGCCCTTGAGTGCCAAAAAATCGTATTTGCTTAGCAGAGGTTGGCTGTCTCCTGGCTGCAGCAACCACCATGATCGGTGCAGGAGGAGCTCAGGGGTGAGAAGCTGTCTCATTGCCAAGACATTGCACGTTGGGCACCTAGACACTTGAAGAAATGCCCTTGTGCTTTCAGACCTTTCAGATTTTAAATAGATTAACTTTTAGACTAGTTTGACCCCTGTCTTCTAGATGCACAGAGGTGAATGAAGCTCTGGACATTGATTAGGGTTTTGGGTTGGAGGGAGAGAAATGTGCAAAAATACCTTCCAAAAATGAAAAAAATGACGTTAGATCTTTCTTAGAATGAGAAGATTTTATTGTGGATACAACTCTCCTCATTGAAGGATGCTCTCCTCACCCCTCAATTGTGAAAAAGAGACCAGGCTTAGTGTTGTGACTCTCAAATTTTTGATGTTTGGTTTCAGTTATAGCTACCGGAGTTCTTCTTCCTACTTGTGCTTTTGCTGTTGTCCACAGTAATTCTGTCCTCCAACCTCCAGATGCCCAGCTCTGTTTCAGCACTACCCTTACAGAGCTGTACCAGATTTCCAGCAGTGAACTTAAGAAAAGGCATGTAGTTGGTAACTATTACGCAGCATGCTAGGTCTGAGAGGAAATATTTAATAACCAAAGTTAATATTCAAACCTACTCCAGTCTTCTAGCAGGCTACCCGGCTAATAGGAACCAAGTCCTTTTTACATGGGTACTTCAGTACAATAATTCTGGCCTGAGCAGAATTGTTTCTCTGCTATGTTTTATCTCAAGAGTAAGTGAAAAAAGTAAAAATGATCTGTGAAAACAAGTTTGTACAAAAGCTGTACAAGCTGGGTCAGTTTAAATTCCTGTTTAAAACACTAGGTGGCAACAAGAGAAAAGAAATACTCTTGTACGATGAAGTCGTATTGCCTTTTTACACCCACTGAGCTATTGGTGTAAACAACACTATATGCCAGAGGCTTGGGACAGAGATATAAGGGAAAGGGAAAAGGGGAAGAGAACCGCAGAACAGAAAAACTAATCAGCATCTTTTTTGAGCCAGATGTCCAGTTATCTTGGGGAGTGTGAAACTATCAAATTAACAACAAGGGAAGTGTCCACTGTGTTCTGGACTCAGGTGCTAGAGAAATTTGTATATCAAAGTTTAATTTCATACAAAATGCTTACATTACATAAAAAGTACCTGGATCGGGGGGGGGAAAAAAAAAAAAAGAATAAATTGCTCCACCCTTCTTTTTTCTTCTTAGTGCTCAATACCACATCTTTCATTTGGATTTAATTTGGCAAGTTTTGTTATGGGAACATTATCCTCATATTATAATGATTTTGGCGTTTCCTCAACTGGCATATGAAAGACAGAGGTCTAAAGCTGTGAAGCAATCACAGAGGAACAGATAATAGACACTGGTACATTTTGTCCTGATTGAGAACCACAGTGCATAAATTTTAATATGGTCTGCCAGAGTCCAGCAGAGAAAGTGCTAGATTGGACAGCCACCGCAGTACGAGCCATTGGTGGTTAGGGGGAAAGGAGATTCTGATACTCCTGGGAGGGGAAGAGGGGAAATAGGCATCTATTTTCTACTTCAAATATCTAGACCTGTGTAGTATGAACCTTTTGAATTTAGATATTCATCTTAACCAGCTACCTCCTAGCATCACCATTTTCTTCTGTTCAACACAATTAATTTCAGTGCAGACTCTGTGTGTAAAAGAATAAGAAGCATTGAACAACATCTCACCCATTTGTGTTTTGACAGCAGGAAGTGAAATAGATGACCCAGCCATGAAATCTCCTCCTTCCACCATCCTGAAGAATTATGTCATTGTTGGTTCCTCCCAAATCTCAGGACAAGCTGCCCTCTTCCATTCCTCTGGCCAGAAAAGTTCAGATCCCCATGTCAGAGGACAGGTAACAACGCCAACCGGTTCCCCTCACCTGGCTGCTGTCCACCTGCCTTTACCTCCCAGCAGAGTCATTGAAGAACTCCACAGGGCTCTGGCCACCAAACACCGGCAGGACAGGTACTTTAGCTGTAGCGGTGCATGAGGAGAGTCATTCCACTAAATGTTCCTATCCTGTTATTAACATTTTATTTACTCTTGAACAGCCACCTCTGGTTAGAGCGCTTAATTTGGCAGTTACTTCAAAGTATGTTCTTCCTTTATAAGGAGACTATTGTGACATGGAAGTAGGTTTTCAAAGGGGTAGAATCATTTGATAATCCTTGACCTATTGCAGAAGAAAATCTCCCTACAAGATACCAAGTTAGAGTAGCTAAGGCATATCCTGCTCTAAATATCAGTACTCTACATATGAGAAATGCTACTATTTCAGATCTGTCTCTTGGCTTATACATGAGCATATACGGTATCCATTTTTAAGACAAATGCTTGTGTGGGAGTACACTGGGTACTTCGTCTGGTTTTCATTATGAGCCCTCCCATGTATTAGAGGAGGACAGAGATAACCTTTTCCATCATAGAGCTTTGGAGTTAAGTTGGTAACATTTCTCAATTCCATAACAGCTGTTGTCATGGGGAATAGATTCATATGATATTATTTCCAGGCACTGTTAAACCTTTGTCGTAATCATAAAATATCAGAATGGTAATATTTCATGCCATGTATGTTTTACATTAGAAGGACGTGCTGTGTGGTTTTTTTTTAATCAGTACAGTATAGAATGTGGCTATATATCAAAGAAATACATTAGTCATTGTCCTTCTGGACCTTATTTTTATGACAGAGATAGGAAAGCTGATCCACGTTAGCCATTCTCAACACAGTCTTGAAAATGCCATCCCATGTTGTCCCATGTTGAACTCTCTGCCCTGGCGTTTACAAGCTACAAGAGATTTTGCTCATTTTCATATAACAATAAGTTCCTACTGTGGCAATAAATCAGTCTTTTGTAAAATCTGGGCTGTGCACCTTCCACCGACAGCTTCCATGGAAGAGAAAGCAAAGGCTCTCCAAAAAAAAGAGTGGATGTCCGTCCATCCAGAACATCCAGCATTGAGCGCAACAAAGAAAAGGAGAACTCACTGAGTTACAGCAGTGATTCAGAAAATAAGCGTAACTCAGTTAAAGAGTCGGATGAGAACAAAGAAAACATGATCATGAACTCAGAGCTCAAGGAAGACTCTGTTTTTTATCAGGATGAGGAAGTTTTGAATGACTCCATTATTTCTGGTAAGGAAAGACACTTATTATATTATAAAGCTATACTAATGTAGCCTAACGGAATGCTCTAAACAAGGTAGCATGCAACAGAAAACACTGAGCAGCATAAATTCCTCTATTGTCACATCAAGTTTTTCAAGGAACCCTGGTGAAAAGCTAAAGTTAAAATTTGAGTCATAGTGATTGTGGTCATGTTACTCTTGGTAGGTACTGCATACTAAGATGACGTTTAGAGTTATATGATAAGTCAATGTATCAGTATGCTTCACCCTTTCAGTTACTTACGTGCCCTTTATACCGTGATATATGAATGGCAGCGCTTGCAGACACATATCACTGTCAGTAGGCAAAGCCTTCTGTATATCTGGTGCCAGTGCTGTGGATGTTTTGGAAGCATCCCATTTTAGGACTGTTATTCCAGTGCAGTGATGGTATAGTGAAAAGTGGAAAAGGCCAATGAGTCTAGGAAGGACAAACATACAGAAAATATCTTGAAGAAGAAAGTTGCTTTCCATTTGGCCCATTTTGCCCTTTCTTGAGACATACGGGGAATGCATTGTATAATCCTGAGCCATTATTTAAGTGGGCTTTGGCAAAATAATCAGCTCTCATTAGAAAATTTATTTTTCATTCAAGCTTTTAATGTTTTCCATGTCAGCAAGACGAAGATTCAGTCTGAAATGAATCCTTCAATCTCTTCATCGATGCATTAAAAGAAGTCAGGCAGAGAAAAATTCATCAAAAAATAATTGTTATAACAGATGAAGGATGAATTTTAAAAGGTGCCTATTAGAATGTATGAGCCAGCAGACAGGACACGAGTTCTGCTCCTGTGTCTTAAAGACACCTAGTAACAGAAGAGACTACTGAGACAGGATAAAAGAGAATCCCTTGCATAATTGCTGTGCATTTAAGGAATACCTAAAAAATAAAAATCAACTTTTAAGTTATCTATTTTTTTTTTACTCTGTGTTGTATAAAAGTGGTCTCCTTTAGTATAAATTCTAAGAGCTAGAGGCAGCCAGGCAAAAAAATTTTATCCCCTACAAGTAAAACCAAATCTGAATCTTTTACTGTTGAAGATTAATACTGTATATATTTAAAAAAATAATTATACACTGTCTGTGAAGACGGAAATTATGATGATAGAAGGACACTATTGTACAAATTTCAGTGATATCTAGAAGCAGCTCTTGGCTTTGTTAGAGTTCTGAAAATTTTCTGCTTACTACAGTTGAACAGTTGTTGTATTTGTGATGGCTTAAGAATCATTTAAACGCAGCAAGTTTTAAAGGGCAACATTAGGCCAGCTGAGACGGTGAGAAAACCAGACCGCTTTCAGAGATATTTTGGCCTTATTGTATCTGCAACGATCTGCTGCTAAGCACAGAAGATATTGAAAGATGCCATTTGAAATACTGGCTATACAGTATGAAATAAAAATAAATGAGATTGAATAGAAAGCTTTTTCTCCTTAACTATATAATTGATTTAAGAAAATACTATGTGTATGTATAAATCTTACGTCACACAACGTCTTATGTACTAGGCATGATTGGTCATGTATTATGACTGGGTAGGGTATGCCTGCTAGAAATTTAGAAAAATAATATTGGATAGTAGAAAAATTATTAAATACATTTTTGAATAATATGTGAGTACTACAAAGATGTAAAAGCTTCATGACAAGGCTTATAGGACTATTTGGTAAATATAATGAGGTGGGGCTGATACATTCTTGAATGTTTTAGTAAGATTAATGGCCCAAATTTAAAATGTCAAGGGCCAGAACTACACACAGGCTTGCTTCCCCTGTTCTCATGATAGTGTCCTAGTAATAGAAATGCGTATCTAGACAGCCAGCTAGATACCTTACCTGAAAGACTGAAAACTCATGGTTTTTATGAAATTAGGTAATGTGATGATTATATACAGATTAGTATTTACCTACAGATGTAAACCAAGGGCAAAGAGAGCAAACAAAGATGGTTTATCATTGGATAAAGAGGCCCCAGATATGACGGCAACCCCCTTTTCCATGCAAAACACTTTCCAACTTTAACAAAAATAATTTTTGGGAAGACTTTTCTTTGTAGCTACACATCCTTCTTCCTTGTAATTAATTGATCTCATTCTTTGGCATTCAAGTCTCTTCACAACTAAACTGCAGTCACTACACCAAGAAGCCTGTTCTATACATCCCTAAAACTCACACAAGTCTTCATAAGGCTTGACCTTTATGCATAAGATCATATTATTTGAAATGACTGAAGGTCATTGTGGACTGCCTTGTTGTTGGAGGTTGTAAATGTGCATTTACAAAAGACATAACTTCTTGTACAAGCCTGGTGCTTGCTCTGTCGGTGTTTAAGTTCAGGGACATTTTAGGGGCTCAACAAACACATGGGCTATGCAAAATTTCAGCTGTTTGATGTCTAAGGAGGCTGCCATGGCTGGGTACTGGGAAAGCTGGGCAACAGAGCTGCTTAAACCACACAAATATCCTTAGCACCTCAGGAGACAACAGCTTCGGGAATGCAACCGCTGCCGGTTTACTCAGCACAAGCTGGGACATAAGCAAGGCGTTTCTGGTCTGACACTGGGTGGCACTGCTTGTGCCAGCATTCATTCAGATGTACTCCGTCTGCATTTCAGAAAGGAAGGAGGGATGCAGTAGTGACAGGGATAGCACCAAAATATCTCCACATTCTTTCTAGTTTTAAAAAATCTGGGCTGATTTGCAATTCGGGAGGTAAAACTGTCCATTGATCCGGAGTTCCTTTACAGTTAGTGTACTGCCTTGTTACATCACCAGCTTTGTCAGTGCCAGTGCGATGCAGAACAGTGCATCAACAACCCTGTGGTTCCAGGGAGATTGGTACAGGTCACAGATAACTCTGGAAAAAGTCAGGAATTGTACCTTGGCCTTTCATTAGCACCCTACTCAATAAATCATTCTCTGAAACCTCTAAAAACACAAGGTAAGACAGTAGTCTTGTGTATGAGTTTAAAAAGTAATGTAACTAGCATGTAGCCCACAACTGATAACTAGTGCAAGCAAGGTCTTTCCATCAGCGTGCAGTATCAAGATTTGCCTTTTGCTTGATAAAAAGAATACTAAACATACAGGAAATTAAATGTCATGATTCAACTGAATTAAAACAGGAACTTTTGTCAGGAACCTGCAGACCAAGCATGAAAAGGGTGTGAATTTTCAAAGCATTTATTGTTGATCTAGCCGAGCTGCCATAAATCATGAAACAAGCCACAGGCAAGATCCTGACTGAGATAGCTTGGTTGTGGGGCAGACCGGCATTGAACATGCCTTATTGACTAGGAAAAATAACCCTTAGGAAGAAAACACTTAAATAAGGGTTCACTTTCTACTGAGATGGTGATCAGGAAGGAATTTGCCTCAGGGTGCTGAAAATGGATGTGGGGCAAACTAGTTTGGGGTTTTATTTCATTTTTGTTCTCTGGTTTTGTTTTGTTTATTTGTCTGTTAATTCTGAAACATCAGATAGGGGTTTCTGCAGCAGGTGGACTAACAGAACTGGCCATCAGTGGGCTGGTCAAGATGAAAACATGAATTACACAGTGTTTCCTGGCATGTCTTCCTGAATGGGGTAACATCATCTCCGTCTTTTCACTTTGTAGGACACGTATTATTTTTCAGGAATTAACCCAATTGGTCAGGCAAGGGGAATGCCTCCTTATACTAGCAGATGAACTTAATCCAGATCTCTTGCATTTTTATTTGGTGAAATACCCTAAAGATTAATCAGTACCCAGTGCATATGGACCATGGGAGTGGCTATAGCATAAGCCTTTTAGAAATCCAGACATCTGGATGAAGTGAGCACAGCTTATCCTGAGTGGGTTATATGCTCTACACTCCTCTAATACAACAGCAGGATTTGGGTTAAAGTTGAGATTTTTCAGATATGATTTGTGTTTTTAATTTCACAAAGTAGTAGACTTCTTCTAAGTGTATAGCAGAGCAGCCTGGGAGCAGTCAAGGCCCTGAAGAGCAGCTTCATTTTACTTTGTTTCAAGCGAAATATTGCATTGTTCTGTCTCACTTTGAAATACAAGCCTCTAGGGCATACACTGAGCTAGCTTAAGCCAATGTCTCCACATCAGCTTCAAAACCTGACTTCTTGCAGAAAGGTCCAGTGTTATGACTGCGAAGTTATCGGTTACAGCTGACCTTCAGTGAGATGAGGGATAGCAGAAAATGAGCCCTGACCTCATCTGAGCAAACAGTCACTGTGATTCAATTCAAAGATTAGGTATAGTACGGTATGACAAGTAGTTTTATACAGCCTGAAGGGAGTAGGGGTAGTCCTACATGCTCATACTTTAGCTGTCACCAATGAAAGGGAGAACTAACAGTTTAGGGTGCCTCTCCAAAAAAAGTGTTTACTCCATATGTAGAGCTCCCTTGTTTCCCCCTAAGCACTTCTGGACAGAGACATATGCATGTGATGTATAGTGTCTGCATATATTGCTTTCAGTGCACCCAAGATGCACTGAACTGCCTGCAAATGCACTACGCAGACGGCCAGCACATGGGCGGACGTCTATCATGGTCTGGAGACACTGGGCTTAATGGGCATGTGCAGTCTCTCTGCAGCAATCTCCTGACATGCCCGGATTCCTCTTACCGCCTGTTTAAAATTTGCAGGTGAAAATGAGAACATGTTCAGGGATACCCGGGAGTTTGCTAGCCCCAAACGTGCTTCAGATTGTTTCCAGAAGGGATTCTGTTGGTTCCTGTGCTGTACGGATCGAGCACTGAAAACGCCCACTCTGCACCCACTCCCGGTGTGGTGGAGGCTTGAAAAACCTTGACAGAGTCCCAAGTCTGTGGTTTTGTGAGCCAAATGTTTCTGATGGAGTCATATATTCAGTTAGCAGAAGGCTCTGTGTGGCATCAGCCAAATCATTTAACTTCTTTACCCATCTGTTAAATGTATACCTACTACTTCACATAGGGCTGAGTGGCTTAATTTAATTAATGTTTCCAACAGACTTGGAAAGAATCAGGAGGAAGGTGCTAAACAAGGGCACAGCTTTTAGACTGTAAGTGGGGTTTTGAGCTGATTATGGTTTCAAAAAAGTTTAATTTTTAGACCACTGCAACTATCAAGAGACTTATCCCTGCTCACACAGTGAAACCATAACTACTCTCTGCCCCAATCTTCCCAACATGTATATGTGGATGTGATATAGACCCTTCCTCTCTGCATAAAGAAATTCAAGATCAATAATGATAATAATACTGTAGGTCCACAGATCCCTAGCATATAAAACCCCAATATTAGGGAATGAGAATCTATTTAGGATTTAGAATCTTGGCAACCTCCAGAGCATCCTTTAAAAAATAGACTTTAATCCTATCTCAAATGCCAAACAAAAATACCAATTAAATGTCATTTTCTTCAAAAATAAGGTGACCTTTTGTAGAAAAGGTGAAGCATTAAATTAAAAAAAACGCCTTTAAAGTAAAAAGGAACCAAACCAAAATAACCTCCTATTATACCCCATGCTCCCAAGATGAAGCAAATTCAAAGATTTAACTGTAGTTCCTGTGTACCCTGACAATACTCTAAACCCCATCTGACTGGTGCTACTTTGCAATGATAATTTTCACACTCTGCTAAAGCCCTGGACTGGACACCAGAAAAGCCAGTTACAGCATAGTAGAAGTGTGCAGAGATCTGGTGTAAATTTACTTGCTTAGAACCTGCATGTGACATGATTGCTAGAGGACAGCAATCCTAGTAAGACTCAGCAGCTCTCTGGTTTTAATAACACTTCTCTCTTCTTTCCCCCCCATCATAAGCAAGCTATCCCTTATCAGATACGGATATCACCTCAGACTTTCAGTCTGCATTTGAAAATAAAGATGGCTTTCTACTTTACAGCCATTTTATAATGTACCTTTCCAAACACATGGCAAAATGGTTTTGTAAGCTCAGGAGTCCAATTTTCATGTTTAGCATGCTGAAGTTTAAAAAGTTACACCAGAGTTACAGAAACACCCAAGCTCAAACACAGCTCCCTGAAAGAGGGAAAGGAAAGGATGCTTCTAATGTCATTAGAAGGGCAGCGTCAAGGACTCATCATCCCTCACACTGAAGAGCAGTGGACTCCTACTCAGAACAGTTGCTGCATGTTCTCCTTCGAACAGTTCTTTTGTAATGGCAATGTATTAGGTTGTCTGGTTTAATGGAAAACATGTGTTATTCTGTTTTTACAATAAGCAGAAGAGGTCATGCAATCACAGTAAGTATTTGTGTCTCTTACTGCCCGAATGCCCAATCAAGTTGCCAGCATTCTGCAAATTCTCATAAAACTTGGCCTTTTCTTTCATTCCTTGGAATATTTGCCCCTGTTCTCTTCAGAGGGCAAGGCCTAATGTCAAAAGTATAGTATTGACTGGTAAATGAAATTCTGTTATGACACACCGTCACACTGGACAGGATGTAGACATACTTAATGGCTTATATTTAGCATTAGTCACATATGGGGTCTGATCACAATTCTGATTTTCTGATTTCTAATGCCAGAAATCCAGAACGACATTTTATATATGGGTGTCTGCACACATATGCATATATATACACACATGCCAAGCAGCAACTTTGATTGTTTCGGTTACCATTATCTATTTCTGGTTATACCTGATGACCCAAAGAGGAAGGTTTACATGTCCTGGCCACTGAGCAATCCAGTCCTTCTGCAAAGGACTAAATGGTTCAGGAAATAGGGATTGCTTTGGGCTATAGGGATGCTCAGAGGACTGTGGCAAGATGCACAGCCTTTTACTTCTAAACTAGTGACATGAATCATGTCTCAGCTGCAAATAATTTTCACCTGACAGCACTGCTTGCTTATAATGGGTAACAAAGATAACAGATGAATATGATCCTTTTGCATTTGTAAGCAGTTTTGTGTCTTGAGTCCTGCACAGCTGTAGTGCTACTTACTTATATTAATGTATACAACTGCTCATTGCACACCAACATGCAGATCAGTGTCACTCTGTAGGTTTCCTGCTTTTTATATGTTCAGGTTTCATCTCCAGGAGCTGTCTTTCTAATAACTTTCTTTTCAATGCACGTCCCAGGTACTTTGCCAAGAAAATGCAAGAAAGAACTGCTGGCAGTAAAACTACGAAACAGACCAAGTAAGCAGGAGCTGGAAGACAGGAATATTTTCCCAAGGAGGACAGATGAGGAAAGACAGGAAATCCGGCAGCAAATTGAAATGAAACTCTCAAAGTAAGTCTATCTAAGAAGAGGGAGGAACCTCCCTTTACAATGGAGCGTCATCTGAGTACTGTCAGATGAGACACTGTCACCCACCTCCAAGTCCATTTCCTGCACTGAATCATACACAAACTAATATAGCACATTTTCAGCTGCTCATTAGCCACATGAAAAAAATCTTAACTCCCTCTTTAGTCAGGATTCCCTTGATTTCAATAGAAGACAAAGCAGAAGTTACTGTGGGAGACAAAATTCTGCCAAATCTACCTGTAGCCCTACTGACATAATCAAGATTTTGAAGTCCTCCAGAAATGCTGGTGCTTAAACAAAAATAATACCATAATCATTTATTAACCTGATTTTGCTTTGTCAGCACCAGCTGAATTTGAGGAAAAAGGCAATTGTTATGGCTGTATATTTACTTGAACAAGAGAAAGCTGCTGTATGCATTGGCTTTATTTCTGCTTTAAGGAAGAAGTAACTTCAGCAGCATTGTCCTCATATGGGCAAGGTGTTTGTGTAAGTCCAGCTGCAGGGATGGCAGGGATGGTCTGGTTTTGATCAGTAACCAGGGCAACAGGGTAGAGTTGTGAGAGAAATAGCATTACTGTGGCATGTAGCCTAAAGCAAAGATTTAAGGTAACTGTGAGGCTCAGACTGCACCATTTGGATTTTGTGTGTGTTTTTTTAAGAGCTACATTTGGATATCTGCAAACATGAATATTTTAGATGAGACAAAGTGGATTGTTAAATAATCTGTGCTGTGCCTGCCCACACTGGGACGGTGAGCACTGCTCGCCGCCAAAATGCTTGGAATCAAATTGAGAAACATGAATGGAAGTTCATTTTCAAGGCTTATTAAATATTAAATATCTCAAGCCTCTCCTGAAAGAAACATTTATTGATATTTAGACTAGCTCATTCATGTGTGTGCATTTGATTAAATCTTATCTCAGGGGACAGGGAATGAGATGCACGCATATGGATCAGAGCACAAGTCCTAATGGACCAGAGCTAATGGAGGAAAACGTGACTGCCATCACCATGCTTGCCCTCAGCTAAGAAATAAACTGCTGAGTGAACATAGATGAGATTTTTGGGTGCACTTCATGATGCCCCTACAATGTTGGAGATGGAGTAATCACCTTCCTCCAGTCTCAGCGATTGCTGTTTATTCTTTGTAGCATGGTAGCACTTTATACCCAGAGGAGAGCAGTGCATTGTGCCAGTGATTGCAGAAGACAGAGCAGATGACTGTCCCTGTCACTAAAAACATGTACGTCCCAGAGAAGTAGAAAATATCACATTACAATTTACATTAAGTTCCAAGAGTTACAGGCAGAGAAAATCACAGATGTGCCAAATTAATACCCATCGTCTTAGAAAGAAAATTGTCATGGACCTTAACCATGGCCTTGAGCATCCTGACCTTGCAAACCTTGTGTATTCATTTCAGGGAAATACTTTAAGGTGCATTCCGATATTAACTCCAGTATTTTGGCCAGTCAATTGCTCATGAAATGTCTCTGTAGGTCAGGAGCCCTATTTTATGTGGTTTCCACCCAACTGCATCCCTAAAACCAAGTTCAACCATCAATGAATATTCACTGAGTGACAAAATTATCTCATATCCAGCCACACCTCTTATTGCTGAAATGCCTGGAAGGTCACATCTCTTTTCAATACAACCTCACTTCTCTTAGTGTGAAAGATCTAATGGAATTGCAGCTTCAGCAGGTATAACTACAGACTTTATCCCTTTCTTTTCATTTACCATTTAGTTTGCTTAATAATGAGCCTAAAGAATCATTTTGAAGGAGGCATACCTAAAGTCAGTACAAGGACTTAAAAAAGAAACTGCTCTACTGGTGAAAAAAGGGCTGATCATTACTAGGAGCTAGGAAATGTACTGTCTATATGGAAATTGAGTGAAGGAAGCCTCCATACTGTCTGCTGTGGTCTTATGGAACAATCTGTGGTGCAGGCCATTAGTCTCATTGATAATGTCTAGAGGATGGCTGAAAGCCATCTTTGTTCCAAGTGCTGGAAGACAGGCTTTCATTTAGCTCCTTCCTCCTGGAACATGGAAGATTCAGCACATCTTGGGGAACAGACGGTGCAGAGATTGCTGGAATAGCCAGGAATGGCAAAACAGATTGGAAGCAATCTCCCACACAACTTTCAGCACATATGTGCACTGGCAGAGCTCAGCTCAGCTCTTAACTCATCCACCAGAATAGAACATGACCGTGCAAACAAGCTCAGGTGGTGGATGCAGGCAGGAAAATATTTACAACAGGAAAAGAACGTATGTGTCCAAAAAAAACCCCAAAGTAAAAATGGGTACTGGTAAAGGCCAAAGTGGTAAAGCCCTAGAGATATCCCTCTGGAGGTTCTGCCTAGGACTGACTAGGTCTCACCCCACAAAACCCAGACCAGCGCAGAGTCCCCACTCAGAGCACAACCTGGCATGTGGTTACATGGAAATGTCACCACACTGGGAAGAGTGAAATTCTTGGATGAGATTTTGAGGTCTTTAAATTCGTTCATTGCACTGGTATTTGTGCAGCATAGTCTCTTTGTGATAATTTGGAAGTTTATAGCTAAGGGATGTACTGCTCAGTGTTCAGGTGTGAGATACTGACTGGGATATGGGATCCAACAGAAATGCCTGTTCTCTGTATGACTTTGCCGCTACCGATGCAGATAAGAGATGTTGCTGCTGCTGCTGCACTACTAGTAACACTTCGATAACAGCAATGAGACTTGCCGGCTCATTTATGAATCCACATGTAACATCAGGCTGTAGACCTGTACTTCAGCACAAAAGAATAATGTACAGGCAGATTACTGAGCATTATCTGATGGCTGTCTGCGTAAGAATGGCAAGTAAACAGGCAGTGGCTTTCAAGATCATTATTTTTCAGCACATTTGTAGGGATTTCAAAGTCTATAGCTGTCTAGCAAATTGCCTCAGTGCCACAGCTAACACAGCCTAGCTCTGTACTCTGGAGGGAAAGCCGTGCTGATGTACGTAACGCGCAAAACGTACCGATTAATAGTGTCTATGTAACTTCAAAAATGGAGAGACAAAAGAATAACATTTTCAAAACTGCTGTATTTTTAAAATGGTCCTGATTGTAACACATTTCAACAGTAGTTGTGAACCTGCTGAGAAAACCAACTCTCTGCTATCATGCTGATGAATGTTAATGCAGTCGAAGATAAAATCCCCATTTTTCTTCACTTTCCCACTCTTTTGATCTCAAAAGAGAGATTAAGAAATTCCGTTACATCTTTTAGGCCAGATTCTACTTTGACAGCAGTGCAAGTCCACTGACTTTAGATTTATTACTGACTGACAGCAGCGTTGAGTACAGATTCAAGTATTCATTTATGTGCTTGCTGCTTTTGAAAAGTGTATTTCCCATATTTCGTACTCCCAGCCAATTTAGTGTACCACTTGTTGCCGTGGAAACATGCATTTCTCCCTCCCCCCTCCATCCTAGATGGCAGTATTCCATTCTCCCCAGAATTCCCTTTCCAGTAGTGTTTCTCTTACTAATTCATGCATCCCTAGTGCCCCAGGCCATGGTGTGCACTTGCAATATCCGACTGTGCATTAGGCAACAGGGCTCCCAACAGGTCTTGGTTCCCATTATTATGTGTTCGCAGTGTAGATAATAAGCCCTCAATGGAATTCAGTGAATTGAGAGCTCTTTGTGTCAAGAGGCAGAAAAGACATTTCCAAGTACAATTATTTGCAATAACTGCTTTCTGCCTTACAAACTCACTTTGTTCTAGAAGGGGTTTAAACCGAAACCTGGGGGAGTAAAATAGTTGCTAGACTGAAGAGTGATGCAGGAAAATATTGTTTAATTAGATTTGATATCTGACTGTTTAGAAAATTAGTGTTTGAACTGCCTGGGTGGCTGGTACTTCTCGAGTATGCCTTGTATAACCACAGTTAAAGACACTCCATTATTACTTAATGTTTCAGTGAAAACATGAATTCCCGGAAAAGATTATACTTGTAATTTTCACTTCATGTTCTGTTTCACCTCCTTGGATATTTGCGTAAGTAGACACGATGCATTGAGCGGCACTTAAAAGAATATGGAAACAGGAATTCAGGTACAGAAATGTGGGCATCAAAGAAGTCAGACAGGAAGAATGATGATTTTGTGGACTTAGAGCGGAACCAAAACTCCAGCACCTAAACCTGATCTTTACCACATTGAAAATCTTGGCATGGGTAAGTGGATCATGCTGGGGCAAGGTTTCTTGGCAATGTTAAGTGAAAAGGAGGTATCTTTATTCAGTACTTCACCACATCTGGAAATCTGTAGTTCTAGTGCTGCCCTGAGGTTCTTGGAAAGGCATTTTGAGTTGACTTGCCCAGAAACTGCAGACGTAGCTAAATGCACACCCAGATTAGACCCTGGTTTGTACCTCAGCCTCATGTAACAGAGCGTGAAGTTCACAGTGCTGCTGGAGACAGAACAATACCAAGCAAACAGCACTTCAGATTAGCAGCCTAAAAGCAGAAAGCGTGACAGTGCAATACAGAGCAATCATAAAGGAAAATTTTACCTACTGACAAAAGCTGGCCCTGTTTCCCAAGAATGGCATGTCCATTGCCACTTCCTCAAAGAAATGTCTCAGGGCAGCTTTGCTTACTGAAAAGGCATCTGCCCTCCAGACCGATGGGGATTCAGTGGGAAACTGAGCTGAATCCACAGAACTGTGAGGATTATTTTATTTGATTTCGAGCAAGAGAGGGATGTGTGTGCGTACAAACTACTAATAGCCCTAATACTGAAATTAAGTAGATACTGAACTGAGCCCAGTTTAGAGACTAGCATAAATTCACCTGGAGATTATCACATTTTTTTGATAAAGCTCCGAACTTCCACTTACTGAACTAGAAATCAGGGAATTGCCCTGATTTCAGAAGGCTGGGAAGACTTGACACAGATTTATTCCAGAGACAGAAAGGCAGGGGCAGGCAC